CTTCTTTTTTACTGCTAAGGAACAGTTAATTAAACAAATTCTAACCTATGCTTGTAAATATTTAATTTAAACTATCTGAAATTATTCAGTTACACTCTTTTAAAAAGATTAACAAAAGAATAAAATTATTTATATCGAATCACTTTAGTATTTTGTAATGTTGGCATTATGGGCTAACAAAATCAATTTTACAACAACTCTTAGTTTTCTGGGCTAACAAATCAATTTTACAATAGCTTTCCCCATCTTAGGAACAGCTTTATTTCTTCCAATAGTCCTGTCTTTTAGACTAATTTGAATCACTTTATTTACAAGCCGTAAATGAAACAATTTGATGTCTTTTACAAATATGTTACTTTTCCGTCAACAAATCTTATACGTTAAAACAACATTTCGCAAGTTAAATTTTTCCAAAACCTCGAAAATATACTTTTAAAAAAAGTCACCCGATACAAAAAATCCTGCTTCTTTCCATCCTCAAGTAAAATAGATAGACCAATTGTCCAAACTACTTTTAATTATACGGTTTTTTGTATTTTAAATATAGAATACGATTTGAATAATTTGACACAATGAGTGGAAACATTCTTTACTAAATAAATATCTAAAGAATCAATCTAACTTATACTAAAGCTCGGAAGATTTACCATGAAGCCAGAAATCTTAATATCTCTCTTGTGTGGGAGCAATATTCTGACTGAAATATAATCCAGAGGGAACGCTTCCTCACGATTCTACTATTAAAGAAAAACGCAAGATGCAAAATTTAAAAGAAGCGTCTAATATTTAAAAATAGATTTACATTTATTTTTCTTAAATAATGTTTTCGAAAAAATGGCCATCAATGTATACTGATTTTCAATTTATTTTTTTAATAAAATTTTCAATGTGCCAGTATATAAAGAGTTATAAATAATTGGCCGATTTTATTATTATATTGTATCAAGTATTAAGAACATAGCAAGTAGGCTCTGCAAATTGAAGGAGAGAGTTATCAATGATAATGTTCTAACTTCGAATCCGCAGTTATCTCCCTTTAACTCTCCCTCGGAACCTTCTGGAGGGCTGCTTGCGCCTTTTTATCTGGACTTCCCTTTGCGGGGGCGGGGGGGCGAGCGAATTTTCATTCCGAAAATGCGGCCCAGAGAAATGAATTTGGGAAGACTTTGTGGCAGGAGTTAACGTACGCCTATATTGTCCATGAATGATAGATATATGTATTTATCTACACGCCTGCTCAATACAAGGGCATGATATTTAAAAGAACACCCACTCGTTCCGAACGCAGAATGTGTGTGCGCTCTGTTATATATATAATTATTTTTAATTTTTATATTTATATTTAATACATATAAAAGAATAAAAAAATATTTAGAATTCAATTTGAAAATTATTTTTTCTGTCAAATTTATTTGAAAAAAATTGTTAATAATAAAACCGTCTAATGCAGAGTGCAATTACGATTACCTCATTCGTAACATTGTGACGTCTTTATGACGTCATTTCACTTTGAAAACAGCAACATCAAACGTAAATTATTGGGAAAACATAGGGCAAACCTCAAAGTAAACGTTTTCATTACTTCTTTCCATAGTCACCCCAACCCTTCCTTTGTTTGCCCTCCTTTCGAACCCATTGCTTTTCCTACCCTCTTCTCCCGGTACTCCTTCCTCTTCTTTTCTTCTCTCTACATTTTGCATTCATTTAGACTCTCTTTCATACCAATCCACCCTATGCCCTTATTTTGTCATTGTCGAACTAAACAGCTGTTGCAGACACTTCAAAACGGTGACGTCATAGAATGTAATCTGAAATTAATGGCTTGAGATGAAGTCATTCTGATTGCAAAATCTTTGCTGATTAAGGAAAAAAATTATTGAAGAATTCTAAGGATTGTCGAAAGTGGCAGAGATATACAATACTGATTATTTTTTTTTTTTTTGAAAATATTTACTCTCCTACAGATGAAAGAAAAAGCGGGAAGAAAGAACTGAACATTAATTGCAAGAAGACAGAATGCATGTTTTTTAATTTTCTAATGTCCGTAAGTTTTTATCCTTTCCCTCTCACTTAGCGAGAGAGCCTCTTGATTTTGTTGAAAGACAGAATACAATGGTTACTCTTATTTTTGTGGGGTGGACGGGACATAATAACATCATTTTTCTTTTTTTTTTGGTCAGAAAGCATACATCATTTCATACATAAAATTTATATATATATATATATATATATATATATATATATATATATATATATATATATATATATATATACTGGCATGTTTATTTAAAAATAAATACGCAAAACTTCACCTTCCTCTCTACTGGGCGCCACTAGAATCTCCGACTGATGCCAAATCAGCCGGGTTTTGATCCCGGCTTGAAGCGATCTGATGTCTAGCCACACTAATGAGCTGTAATACAGAAAATCATTCTGTCTGTGGATGACGATATACATACATACATATATATATATATATATATATATATATGTATGTATGTATTATACGCAATTGCACATATTGGGATTTTTAATTCATGGCGTAGTTTTTTCCACAGTATTTGCCAAGTGTGTGTCAAGTATTTTAGTGTATGAAGGAGCGAATGGTGACGGATAAATTCTCATGGAGAATGAGTGTATTGTCAAGAATGAATGGATCGTAAATCCGATTAGCTAGGTATAATGACCAACCTTGAACAGTCTCTCCACTTTTTTTCGACCTTGTGCCACAATTACTGTATCAGTAATAAATCTTAGAATGCATGATTGTCTGCAAAAGGATGAGCTCAACATTTAAATTGCAAATTGGAGATACCAAAATCAAACAAGTACAACAATTTAAATATTTGGGAAGTGTTTTAACAGAGGACCGACAATTAAGAGCATGGCTATAAAGATTCCAGACCCCCACAAACTAGGCACTGACGATGATGATAACTTCCCTATAAAAATAAATAGAAGGAAATTCCATCAAATCTCAATTCAATGCTGGTAAGACTCAACCCATCAGTCAACACGCCGTTCAATGTACACTGCATTTCATATTTTTAGATGATGATAACTTCCCTATAAAAATAAATAGAAGGAAATTCCATCAAATCTCAATTCAATGCTGGTAAGACTCAACCCATCAGTCAACACGCCGTTCAATGTACACTGCATTTCATATTTTTAGATGATGATAACTTCCCTATAAAAATAAATCGAAGGAAATTCCATCAAATCTCAATTCAATGCTGGTAAGACTCAACCCATCAGTCAACACGCCGTTCAATGTACACTGCATTTCATATTTTTAGATGATGATAACTTCCCTATAAAAATAAATAGAAGGAAATTCCATCAAATCTCAATTCAATGCTGGTAATACTCAACCCATCAGTCAACACGCCGTTCAATGTACACTGCATTTCATATTTTTAGACATCACTCAACAAGGGTAG